TAAAGGCTCTACACAGGAATAGCACAGCTGCCAGATGCAGTAACATGGAAGTGGGGATTTGAGTAGCACCATAATTTAGTTGCTAAATGAAATAAGAATGCTACTAGGCCTTGGCTGACATGGCCACAGCTCTGAGGTCAGTGTGTATGTTTGTGACATGTCAACACTTCTGCACATATCGTTTTTTTAAAAGCCAGAACAGGCTGAAGGGTTGAACACTCTGCTCAGCATCTCTTGTGCTGATGTTTATCGTCTTTATCATGGCCCAAAGCAGTTCAGGCTGGGAGATTTAGGACCATCGTGTTCAAAAGACTTTCCCTCCTGCCTAGTTGCAGCCAGAAAGTGTTTTCCAGGTTTTGCCTTTAAATCTTCTGCTGTATAGGAGTAAACCCAGACCAGCTGTTTTTCCCACTTGGACAGCAATAATAAATTGAGAGAGAGAGAGAGTGAGAGAGAGGGGGGAGGGAGGGAGAGACAGAGAGAGAGAAAAAGAGGCAAAGAAATAGAGAAAGACAAAGAAAGACAGAAAGTGAGAAAGAGACACACATAGAGACAGAAAGACAGAGACAGAGAGAGACAGGGAAAGATACACAGAGAAAGAATGTGTGTGTGTGTGAGAGAGAGAAAGAGGCAGAGAGAAAGAGAGAGGGAGAGAAAGAGAGAGGGAAAGAGGCAGAAAGACAAAGAGAGACAGAGAAACACACACAGAGATAATGTGTATGTGTGTGAGAGAAAGAGGCAGAGAGAAAGAGAGAGGGAGAGAAAGAGAGAGGGAAAGAGGCAGAAAAGACAAAGAGAGTCAGAGAAAGAGAGAGAGAAAGAGAAAGTGAAGCAGAGAAAATGAGAGAGAGAAAGAGAGAGAGAGAGAAAGAGAGGGAGAGAGGGAGTCTGAGAATGTGTGCAAGTCGGGAAGCTGTGCGTGCGCATGCCAGTGTGGAGATGTTCAGCCATGAGCCTATCTTTGCAACTGCTCACAATTCTGCACTCATTTGGCATCGCCCATTAGCATGATTGCTGGCTTTTATAAACAATTACAGTTATTCATCCAGCTCAAACCCTTGGCATAAGGTGAAGCGGCCTTGGAAAGAAGAGGCCAGCTCTCCATTTGGCACCTTATCAGAAATGTAGGGATACTTGCCATTTTCAGTGATCCTTCGGTGAGCAAACAGTCTCCAAATTAGCTCCTGGGGTAGAGTGCAAATTTCCCAGATGAGGTAAACATTTTATCCAAGGGTTTTTTTCTTTTTCTTTTTCCTGGTGTGTTTCTCCATCAGTGCTTGGTCTTTCTAAACTGGGTTGGAGAGGAACAGGAGCAAGATTTGTGTTCTGTAGTGCTCAGCCCAAAACTGGTTGATATTAGGATCTCAATGACTGAAGCAGAATTGCAAGGGACTCATAATCTTCTATATATATAAAAAATGATTGTGTGTGTGTGTGTGTGTGTTCCAGCATAATTCTGGAACGCCTTGAGCAATTTCAACCAAACTTGGTACACAGATGACTTACTCTCTGGAGAAAAATACTGTGGAGGGTAAGACACCCCTAACACCCCTCGGGGTGTGTGTTGTTAAGATGCAGCCTGTTGTGCCTTTAAATGACATCTCCTGTACTGCCGTAAAATGGCTTCTACTGTACTGGGCAGTGGAGTCGCCATGGTAACGGCTTCACAGTACTCCACAAGGGAGCTCCCTCTGGTAAGGGGGAAAGTCCAACATTAGAAATTATGTTTGGTCTGGACATTTCCCCCCCTATAAATCCCTGGGTAATGCCGGGTTATCGGCTAGTTAAAAATAACTTTCCCAATACCTGGTCTAAACAAAAAAGGGGCTTGCTAACCAACTCTTGGCTACTCTATAGGGAAAGTGAATGGAAAGAGAAGGCAAGGCCTGGCACATTTGATATAGCAAAAGACTTCTCAACAAGATCCTTGGCTTTCAGGAAGTCAACTTTTAGCTCAACCGATTCTTTTACACCGATTCTTTCATTAATACACAAGTGGCAGCATTTAACTTCCTGAATTTGCCGTGTTAAGTTTCTCTTTCCAAGACTAATCATGAACCAGGGACGCGTGTCTCTGTGAGTGTGGTGCATCCTGCCGTTTTTACAAATACATGTTGACTCCAGCTCAGGAGACAAGTGTGTGTTCCAGGTCGAGTCTTCTCAACTGCGAATAGCTGAGATAAGGAGAAGGAATCAGCTGGACAGCGATCAATTCCTGCATTCTGGGGATAGGAGGGGAAAGCGAGGAGAGAGACACGAAGAGTCTCCTCCAAGACTATAAAAGGCAAACATTTAGATGAAGGTGATGCTTAGGGGACGGTTTGCCAAATTATTGGAAGGTGTGTGCGTGTGTCTGTGTGGAATTAAAAGCATTTTAATGTCCGGGATTGGCGTGTGCTTTTGTGCTTGTCTAAATCAGCTGCTTAAGTTTGAAGATTGTTCTTGTTGACAAGCTTTCAAGCATCTTGGCTGCACGGGGAGGGCATGTGCTTTCGATGGGCTCGCAGAATACTGGACTTGTTATTAAATCTTGGGGTGGTGGAAGAGAGAGAGAGAGGGGGGGGTGCAGGGGGAGATAGGTATCCCTGGGATGATTTACAGGCGGCTCAGGAATCTCAGAACAGAACAAGCTCATCTCTGTCCAGAGCAGTTCACGAAAGCAGCAGCAGCAACAACAAAAGGCTCTGGCTCAACCAGTTTGCAGAAGTGCCTTTCCAAATTCGGGCTGTTTAAAATCTGGACTAATTAAATGAAGCCAAGGGTCATGGGTTTGGAGCCAACATGCTTCAATGCTGGCCCTTGGGACTGGGCGAAAACGCCCATTTTGACAGTGGTGAGAACCAGAAATCCTGGATAAATCATTTTCACTTCAATCTCAATACACACACACAAGGCTGTGATGTCCATGCAGTTAGCACAGTGGCCTGCACTGTGAGTCAGCCTCTTGCCAATTGTCTGATAATGCAGTTATTTAATAAATGTTTTAATGCATTTAATAAACAGTTTGAAGATAATGCAGTCCACCCGAGGAAGAGAAGTTGCCTTCAGAAGTGGTGGGAGCTTCATCACTGGAAGGTTTCAAGAAGAGACTGGGTTACCCTCCGTCAAAAATGGTGTAGCATCTGCTTGGGTGGGGGGTTGGGCTATATTTTGGACTACAAAGTCCCTTCCAACTCTATTATTCTGTTACCAAGGAGAGATTCAATCTAAAAATAAGGAGAAATTTCCCAGCAGTGAGAACCATCAACCGATGGAACAGAAGGTGCCTTCAGAAGTAGTGACAGCTTCATCGTTGCCTTCAGAAGTGGCGGGAGCTTCATCACTGGAAGCTTTCAAGAAGAGATTGGACTGTCATCTGTCAGAAATGGTGTAGGCAAGGGGGTTGGACTAGATGACCTACAAGGTCCCTTCCAATTCTGTTAATGTTAAAAATATTGCCACGATGAGGACACTTAGAAAGGCTAAATGTGTACTTTTTTTGATTTTCATCTCCAATAGTTTTGAGTTTTGAATAACTCAAGGTAACAAACCTATCTAATATGCCTTTCTCCTCCTCTTCTCCCCACAATAAATAAACCTGTGAGATGGCTTGGGCTGAGAGAGAGAGGGACTGGCCCAAAGTCACCCAAGCCAGCTTTCATGCCAAAGGTGGGACTAGAACTTACCATCTCCTGGTGATTGGTCCCAAGTCACCCGGCTGGCTTTCATGCCTAAAAGTGGGAGTAAATTTCAAATTTCCTGCTTTCTGGTGATGATGCCTTAACTGCTAGACCAAACTGACTTTTGCTTTCAACTGATAATTTAAAAATAAAACAAACTTGATTTCCCATTTAGGATAAATTCTGAGATATGACTACTCAAAAAAAGTAAACAGGAGACCGAACAAAACTATTGCTGCATAGTTTAATTCTGTGTATTCTTACTCAGAAGCAAGCAAGTTCAGGTAACTGATTTTTTCCCCTCCAGTTCCTTTGAATCAATGCTGACTCCTGGCCACTGCCTGGCTGACCCTGTAGATTTCTGAGCAAGGTTTTTTTAAAGAAATGGTTGCCATTGCTTCCTTCCCAGGGCTAAGAAAAAGTGACTGGCCCAAGGTCATCCAGTTAGCTTCATGCCGAAGTTGAACTAAAACTCATGGTTGTTAGAATATTCATGACTGGGAGAGACATGGGAACAAGGTCAGCCAATGAATAGGCATAGCAACTAAGTCAGCCAATGGGAGCTTAAACAAATCTGAGTGTGTGCAGAGAATTGAAACAGAAAATTAAGCATTCTGCTGCTCTGAGAAGTAAACAAGCAGTCTGTCTGGGCTTGTCTGCTGAAATGAAGCTAACTGCTTGTGTTTGCCTGTAACTCTCCTGCCTTGCGTTTCTTTAGAAGAACCACCTGTTGGTATTGTACATTTATTCATCTATTCTTATGTATGTAAAGAAGTTAATGAATCCAGCTGAATCAGTTTTCTGTGTGTGCTTTCTGGATTTGATTTTTCTGCAACAAACTCTGACAATGGTCTCTGTGCTTCTAACCTCTGGTGCTTCAGCCACTACATCAAAGTGGCTCTTCGTGACTATAGGTTACAGGTAAAGAGGGCTGGTACCCTAAAGATATGCTAATTTGAATAACTTGACAATTCAGAGTCCTTGATTCCAAGAACTCTATGGAAGGATTTCAAACCATCTGTAGAGGAAGCAGAAAACACATTTGCTTTTTAAGGTCTATCTTATATATGTATTTTCTCTTTCTATTCACCCTGAAAACTTAACCCAGCTAGGAGTTCAGTGTTTCTCAACCTTGGCAACAACATGCTGGCTGGGGAATTCTGGGAGTTGACATTTGCACATCTTAAAGTTGCCAAGGTTGAGAAACACTAACTTAGTACAATGATAGGCTGGCCTTATGGCATACAATTTTTCATCCTTATAGGAAGGTCTTGGTACTTCTTTTTGTTACTGAAAATCAGCTGTGACATGACAAAGAAATAATGCTGCAGGACAGAAATATTTACTCCGTAAAACATTAATGTTTTAATGAAAAATTTTAGCATTGTGTTTCTATCCAAAGACACTCAAAACTAGTTTTTCTTTCTGCTCAATTTTTGTCTTATAATGGGATCGCTTTTTTAAAATTTTGAAGGCTTTTTTTTAAAGTTTAAACAACCAGGCTAGCAAAAAAAGGTACCCAATACATATTCATCTTATATCAAACAAGCTAATATTTCAGTACAAGGTAACTATACATAATATATACATTACACAGAGAATCACAAAAGCAAACACTACAGGCTCAGAACAAATCTTGAAAAAACCATGATATTCACATTGATTACAAGAACTCTAAAAATGATTGTAACAGTGAAACGGCACTTTAGTTTACAAAAAGTCACAAAAATATATATATATATATGTATATATAGCCACCAAGAACTATGGGTTCCTTAAAAATACTAATAGCCAGATATAGTATATAAAATGTAAAGTGTATTTCAACATTAAAAAAAAACCCAAAACATTTGTCTTCCCATTAAGTCAATCAACATGCTAAAAAGCTTAGCTACGGTCAGCACAGACAGCGGAAGAAATTTTTTTTTTGAATGAGATGTGACTGGTGACCAAGGACTGGCACAGTTAAAGGGGAAGGTAGGTAAAGTTATATGCCAGAATGGCCCTTTAGGAATTGATTCACTCTTCTAACGACAACTTTATCTCCTTCCCTTTAGTTTTTGTAACAGCCCAGAGACAAGACAGGTCTGCAGATGTTGGGCCAGGAAATACACTCTCTAGGGCTGTAGTTAGAATAAACCAGCAACATGCAGCATTATATATTAAATGAAACAACAGTGCCATCCATTTCCCCAAACACTCCAGAAAAAGCAGCTGGAATATGTTGATACAATAAAGAAAAAGAGCCAACTTTAAAAATGGCGCATTTTTGCATCTTAAAAAACAATAGCATCTTTTAACAATACCAATTGCATTCTGTTGATCAGCCCGCCTACTTGGCAGCCAAACGATAACTTGCAAAGTATGGTAGGACCTAAGCAGGAATATTATTTTTTTTTTTAACCTGCTCTGAGATCAGTGACTGAACAATATTTCACTTCGCCTTTATTAAAATCAGAAAAGTAAGCCTTGTTGTCTGCGGAAAAGCAGCAAGCAAGAAAGGAAAAAAAGTTTGTTTGCATTTAATGCTATCCAAAAACCCCTGGTTGCCATGTGGTCAGGATTCAGATTTAGCCCTCTGCCACCTTTAGGCTGGTGAGAAAAAAATTAGTAACCCTCTCCCCACAAAAGAAAAGCAAACAAACAGGCCAACGCCATTATTCAAAAATTTTGCATTATTAAAAAAATACAATTTTAATCTCTTTGGGGGACCTGGGGCCTAGGGACTATAGTTTTATAAAATATAATATATATATTTATATATTTTGCTACACCGGCACTGGTTACTTTAAAAAAAAAAAAAGAGATTCACATTTACACTTTCCAGACAAATGGTAAGTGCCAAAACTAGAACTATTCTTAAAGACATGAACTGTTGCATTTGCATTAGAACTGGGAGCATAAAATTGGTCGGTCTGAAGAAAGAGATTAAAAAAAAAATTAGTTATAAGAAGCTGGTGATAGAATATCTGCAATCCAAAACTGGATATTTTATAACAGCTTGAAGAAAATATGGAATTGTCTGTCATGAGCACATGCTTTTCTATCCTCCTTGTGTCTCATGGGAGGTCAGAAAATAAGGACTAAATAATCTCTCTCTTTCCAAACTGAACTTGGGAACAGATCCTTTCCATGGGAATATAAGCCTTTCTCCCAATTCATTGGTACAAAAAAGCCTGAATTGCATACGTTTTGACTCTGGGAACACCATACTACAGATACCTGAATAGTCAAGCATATATCTTAGCAAATTTAACAGACCGTGTCGCCTAAGTAACGGATACTAACCTGTTTTACTAGTAAATTACCTGTTACTGACAGGCACCGTCCACAAATAGAACCCCCCCCCCTCTTTAGTATCTTGCAAAAAGGAAGCTTAAATCGAGACAAGTTCTATTTCGTGAAAATCTAGAGAGAGCTTTTTAAGTTCACTACTGGGCCATTTGGAAGCTGTTATATGAATCTTTCTCTACAAGGAAGACAGTAGCAATATCTTGACGGGATGCGAAGGTTCTCCTTGAAAATTCAAATCAGAACGGAAGGGGGGAAATCACCCATCATAAATTGACATAAACTGCTGCTAAGGAGAGGAACATAATTTTGCTGCCACTGCTGGCCAGGATCCAAAAGTTCAGGATCTAAACAAGACTCCCATGGGTGCTCTGTGAGTTGGGAACAGTTTGCCACACTGCTTACTTAAAATAGGCTGTGCATATTGGGCAGGGTTTATATTTTCAAGTTAAACGTGTGCATTGCTGAAGACTTGATACCCTTCTGCTTTTAGACTCTGAATACTTTCCTTGTTGCATGCTTCACTTTGACTGCTGCTCACTAAAGCATGCCTGTCATCCTGGCTACCTTCTTCACATGTCGAGTCAAAGGGAGGAAAACCTGAAAAGATGACTTTGTTCAACGACAAGTAGCTCCGCAGATCGGAAAAAACTTATGTGAGGAAAGGTTTCACTTTGAGGGCGAGAGAAAAGTGAACGAATCCCCAGTTGGATCGGAGCTTTTTTAAATCCTGAAAAATATTATCAGGATATGGAGTTTTTGTGTGTGCTATGACATAACATGGTAGGACAGGAATTACACAAATGTTTACTTTTCTGTAAGGTAAAATGTACCTTTTACATATCAGGAAGGTGTTTTGGTGTTATTTTCAAAAAGCACTCAATTTTTTTGAAATGTATTTTAAATATACATCATGTGCCTGAGCATATACTAAATATACAACCTGCTCTAGCAAATTGCTCCCCATTACTGATCTCATCGGCGGTAAAAATACACTGTGTAGGTCAAAAAATGTCTCTGTGGATCAAGGTTAGATAACCTCACAATTCTTGCAGGACTGTTTGTAAAGTCTATTATATTAAACTGATTTGCTTCCTATTCTGTTGAGATCTGAGGTAACCAATTCGCAAAACTTTCTTAGTATTTATTGTATTTATTTTACATTCATCTATTTTGCTTAGAACTCAGTTAATATGTCAGTGTGATTCCCCCACTCTCCAAAAAAATTGTGTATTTTAATTTAGATGTTAAGACAACTGTTTCAATGAAATGTGTGATTAAATAGCTTCATCCTACATATATGGAAGAAAATAAATAGCTTAATAATTACTAGATTAGTAAAATCGCTGTATGTATAGTGTAGCCAATGTCCTCTTTCCTGATAGGAGTTTTATTTTACTTAATAAATATTCTGAAACATTCCAACCTGAAAATATCCCTTACTAAAAACATTTTATTTACCAATCTGGAAGAGTGACTTAATTTTTTTTTTATTAAAATTCATTGGAAGAAAAAATCTATCTCATAAAATACTTTAAATTTAATCTTTGTTAATAAGTATATCAAGCCCTTTAAGAAGTTGCAGAGAAGTGCAAGAAATAGTCTCCTCGGATTTGGTGGATTTGCTAATTTAAAAAAAAAAGAAATTTCTTTGAAACTATTACTTTCAAAGCTTCCCACAAACGTCATTCACCACTGTGTAAATATCAGTGCTTTTACAGTTATTTAAACATTTCCCCCATTTATCGTGTTCTATTATATTCTTAATCTGATAACATGAAATTCAAATTATTTACGCCCCCCTCATAAATCTCATCCTTAAAAAAAATAAAGACGGTTTGAAAAAACCCAAATAGAGAGGAATAAAATATTACGCATCGTTTTTAGACTTACCAATAACATGCTGGCAACAAAACCAAAATTGCTGGCCTGTAAGTGCCCTTTGTTGCCTTTAGAATCCTTTTAGGGGAAAATAATAATTTGGTGATTGTTTGCTGGACCTGTGCTTGAAGTCAGAGAAATGGCTTTTACGAAACCAGCTTGGCAAGGGTATATAAACAATTTAGAATAGGAACGTTTTATCATTGCAAACAGGTCTTTTGTAAACAACTCTCACTGATTTGAAACTCGGCCTCTAAAGGAAAATAAATGGCTCGTTTTACTTAAAAAAAAAAAATGCAGGCTAATAAAATTGCAGTAAATAGCACACACATTCAGGCGTAACTTGAAAAGAGCACATTTAATGCGCCAAGGCGCTTTTGACTTTTGTAAACTCACTTCTCATTATACTTTCCCAGCATCCCAATTAGCTCAATGTTAATCAGGATTTCTTGATGGCTCGACTTCTGAAAATGAAGTTTTTGGATAAGGCCGTTTGCATGAGAAGATTCTAGAAAGGCATGGCCAGCGCAGGTGAGAGCATAACTCCACCCCACCCGTTTTGCCAAAGCCAACGAATCATCCGGTTTTAACAATGTGCTTGCTACAGAACTGAAAGAATAAGAGTGATTCCTTCTAACTAAAGAACAAAACAACAACAACAAAAAAAATCGAATATCTACGACACTAGTTATTTAATTGCTTGAACTGGATACTGTAGTCAAAACAAATTTCAACAGCCATCAATACCTTTTTTCCTTAGTGAGAGGTACTGCGAAATTAGGGTGGCAAACCAGTGCCAAAAGCTATTAGGCCTAATTTTACACTTGGTGTGTGCTCGGCTGCTCTTCGAATTTAACCGCCTTATTCTGACCAACTCTTCCACCTCTGCATTTTCAAATGCTTCCGTACAAGGGACCGTTTTAAGGTGTGAAGAATAGTGTAACATTTGTTGCAGTTTAGAGCTTTTTAACAGCATAGCTTATCAAATGGAAAGGGGTACATTCACTCCGCCCCCCCCTCCTGAAAATTAAATTAAAATGTACAAGACCAAAACACAGGCACTTTCCAAAAAGACAAAAAAACAAAAACAAAAACCAAACTTTTGACTTATTCGATAGTGATAGACGAGAGCCCGGCCTTTGGGAGCTCCTCTCGGCCGGCCTCGGCGCTTGAGATGGTTTTTGGCTGCTCTGGCAAGTCTTCTTCCTTTTCTAACAGCCCCCCCAGAGGCCCCAGTGGGAAAGTGCTCTCGCAATTCTGCGTCGAGGAGACCTGCGAAATAACCGGCATTTGAACAGAAGAGCTGCTTTCGAATCCATGCTCTCCTAGCTCGTACTGGCCAAGAGTCTCTTCATGTTCTTGGTTTAAGTAGTCTGGTACTAGGAAGTCACTGAAAAGGGGGTGAAAAGTTGGGAAGAGGTTAGCAAGGCACGGGTTGAGGCTAACTGCAGCGTTACAGCTAAGCGAAGGATTATCTACTTTGCCAAGGAATGAGAATGGTCTGATTTAAACAAAAGCACAACCTAGCATTGTGATGCTTGTTAGATTTATGTGGTATATACCATGTTTTCCAAAAAAATACGACCTACCTCCAAAGTAAGTCCTAGCTTGACCTTTACATGTGCATCCAATATAAGCCCTACCCCCAAAACAAGCCCTAATTAAGACCCCGCCCACTCCAGGGCGCACAGGTAAAAATTAAGCTAGGGTGGGGATGGGAAGGGTGGAGGTGCCCTACTACTTACCTTCAGATAGTTGCAGCCAGGCCTCGCACACCTCAACCCATTTCTTCTTCCAGCAAGGCTTTCCTGAAGGCCTCCGCAGCCAATAACAGAGCTTTGGATCGATCCAGAGCTCTGTTATCAGCTACAGAGGCCTTCAGGAAAACCTTGCTGATCTAGCTGGATGAAAAAGCTCCTGACAGCAAGAAAGAGGCAGGGGGCGAGGCGTGCAAGTGAGGTGAGTGGATGACCCCCCCTGAAAATAAGACCTGGTGTCTTTTTTGGTGGCAAAAGAAAATATAAGACAGGGTCTTATTTTTGGGAAAACACAGGTATGAACAACTTTAAAGCTTCTGGACCAACCAACCAAAAGCCTCCTTGACAAAAGAATATAATTTAAGGTTGGGTGGCACAAAGCTGATAAATTTAAAGCGGGCAAAGGAAACTTTTCTCTGATTGGCTGGCTTTGCAGTTCTACTGAGCATAGTCCAGGCAAAATAAAGCAATTTTAAGGTTCTGTTTCCAAAGCACCGAACATCTACAAAGGTCAATGCTGGCGGTGCCTTTTCTTTCTAAAACTAGCCTGACTACCTATTTCAGCTTAGCTGCATTTCGTTCTCCTCCATCAAGTAGGATTTAAGGATAAGTAGGCTTTTCAAAACATACTCTGGCTGCCTCATTGCTTTCGGATGCAGTTACTATAGAGCAATCGAGAAAAGCAAAGCAAGAAAGGAAGATTATTGCCAGGAAAGCTATTTTTTTTCCCCACCTAGATAGGAAAATAAGGTATTAATGCAAAGCAAACTACAAGCAGCTTATTTGTTTGATTACTTGAAATCCGTATCTACACTGACAGATAAATGTTATAGTTCAAAACACTGACACAAGGCAGGGCCACAATTGCAACATGGTATTCTCTAAATGTACTTGGCTCTTTTTAGTCTCTGACCAAATGGCCTTAACCAAGTTGGCTGCGGATTACACAAAATGGAACCCAGCACATCCTGAGGGTGCCACGATGGACAAGATTTGAATTCTACCCAGGACCGCAATAAACCTGGCAACCTGACAGAAAAGGATACTAACAGGTTGCGGTGAAATAGTACAGGTAGTCCTTGACTTACAATCACAATTGGGAATAGAATCTCCCTGGCTAAGAGCAAGCCAGATGTTTATTGAGTCACGCCGGATTTTATAACCTTTTCCCCATGATTGTTACACAAACCACTGCAGCTGTTAAGTGAATCGCACGGTCGTTAAGTAAATCTGGCTTAAATCCCCATTGATTTTGCATGTCAGAAGTCAAGTGGGAAAGTTGCAAATGGTGATCATGTGACCACACCCCCCCCCCCAAGGATGGTGCAACGGACCAACCATAAGTCACTTTTTTCAATTTTATTGTAGCTTCGGTCGCTAAGCGAAATGGTTGTTAAGCCGAGGACTACCTATACAAAAGAGGGTTTAGGGGGAAATGAAAGAAAGGTACGTTACCCTAACAGTTTCTTTTTTTTAATTTTATTTTTTGTGCACCTCACCTGCTCTGGAAGTAGTTTGCTAGCTCTGACGCTTCATGGTTCAGACTCCTCAGATGAACGATTAAATTTCCAGAGTTGGTGAACATGGCGCCACATGTTTTGCACTCGTAAATCCGAGGCTTGCGGATAATGTGCCGGGAAACCCGCATGTGGTGTTTATATTCCCCGAAGGAAGTGAAAGTGGCACTACATATCTGGCACCGGAAACAGCGTTTACCTTCGTGCTTCAGGCGATGCATCTTTAGCGAGTAAGCCCGGGTGAACTTTTTCCCACAGCGGTCGCACTGAAATGGTTTAATGCCTGCGAGAAGAATAAGCAGAAAATCTTCACCACTGAAAAGTATCGGGAATACCATTCCAGCCCTTTCTAAAGGCAACAAGTCGACCTATTTACACTGTAAATAGATTTACATTTACGGTGTAAATTTCTATGAACAAGAGGATAATTTGGTCAAAACGTTCAGGGATGCCACTTCCCCAAAAGCCAAGTATTTAAATCTTTGAACTATTCAGACACCACCGTTCTCTTATTACATATGAGAAAGCACATCTGTTCAGTGCAAAAATAGACGAAAACATGTTAAGCCCAGCAGCGGTGCAGCCTACTGGTTGTAATTTGTGGTTTAATGGGTTTTGTTGATTTTATTCTGACTTGGGGTCAGGGGTTTGTAAAAGTTGTCACAAATGGAGTGATGTATGAAGCAAAGTCAAGAAATACATTAAAAGTTTGCCAATGATTAAAAATTAAAGAAAAAGCATGAATCTGAGGAACATACAGGGGCCTCTTAGGGGAGATATCTGGCACATTTATCTGAAACAATTATTAATTTGACTGTGTTAAAAACATATAATTTTTAAAGAGGAGAAAATCTTATATTTATGTAAAACATCCTTCCTATATTGCACGAAGCCAGGATTCAAGGATTCAACAGAATAAGAAAAATACCTAAAGGTTAAAACCATGTCTGATGTAGTTGCTACCATGTTTTTATTTCTAGAAAAAAACTCATGTGAAACAATCTCCTTTGTAGTCTAAATTCTCAGGCTTCCAGAAATAAAAGCAGAAATAAAGGATTTTTTTTTGTTCTATTTTATTGCGTTCTTGTAATAGGGACCATATATTGCTTCAAAACATTCAAGTAGTCCTCATTTAGCAACCAAAACTGGGACCAGCAACCCGGTCATTAAGCGATGGGGTAACTAAGTGAAAGTGCAACTGTGCTTACAGTGTGACTTTACAGTGCCGTGAAGCTAAGAGCCCGTGAACTGTCACTGAATGAGGTAGTTGCTAAAGGAGGACTACCTCTGTAAGCTCCTGTTCAAACGATATCTTTGGAAAGTGGACCAAAAGAGATCCTTACCTGAGTGGATGAGCATGTGCTGTTTTAAGTTCTGAATACGGGTGAACCGAACACCGCAAGTTGGACATTGAAAAGGTCTGTCAGGACCATTTGGGCTAGGTCTCTCTGTGCTACTGGTTGTAGGAGCAATGTAGAGCTGGTAAGGGTATTGGACATTCTCCAGTCTGAAGAAGCAAATAAGAACTCTTTCAGTAGCAGATCAAGAGGAAAAAAGTCAGGCGTACAAAATACAACGCATATGTGTTTCAAAAAGACAATAATAATGACATTAGGATCAAATACAAAGATTCAGAGATCCCAAAGTATCAAGACCTGAAAAATGAAGTTGAAAGATTGACACGGATGGCATTTAGATGGCAATCTAGGATGGCATTTAGAAAATCTATGCCCTGACAAATTTTCCATCTGTTAGTTGCAAAGAGCCACACTGCTTGGACTCACACACTACACCGATACCTATGACATCTTAGGTTCTTGGGAAGAACTTAATGTGTACAAAGGCCAACATCAGTAAGGTGTGACTTCTCCTTGTTGCGAACAGATACAACAAAAATGAACTTTACTAAACCATATTAAATGACTGATTTCCGAATGATTGAAGAAGGTAATTTTAAACAAAGTGGAAGTCTTGAGGAAAGAGATGGGCCAATGTATAAAAAGAAAACAGCTGCAATTAAAATACCATCACAGTGAACCTGGTATAAAATGCTGGTTATAATAATCATTTCAACAGCTGATACTTGAGTGATATTAAACTGGTGTACATTTGGAAAGGTCAGAACTCTTTTGTGGGCACATAATGTTATGCAGTCATATCTATTCCAGATAATGCTGTTTAAACAATCCGGGTGCTGAACAAGTGTTATGCTTTCAATTTTGCTTTTTCAAAAAAAACCACTTATTGGCCACATCAAATCTTTTCACATGTTAAAACTTCTTCCACCTCTCAATCTGTTTGGTAGATATTCACTTGTATTTTTAAAAAGTGGGTAATGTACTTGACTGAAAATGTGGACTACATAATGGCTCAGATTTACTCTGTTCTGCTAATTCCCACTCTGCAACTACGTATTTGTTATATTGCAAGCCGACCATGGTGTATGCTTAAAAACCGAACATGTACATGAAAAGGAAGTTAAGATTGTGGGATGCTTGATGTTTTCTGGACTTTGTTTTCTTCAATGCCTGTAACAAAAGAACCAAACTCAGAGACCATCAAGGACCCCACAGTTCAACCCTGAGCTACAAGTATTCTCTTCTCTTGGAAGCTAGGTTGTCAGAATCAGTGTCTGCCTCAAGGTCACCTAGGAAACTCTATGTCTAAGTAGTATCCCAGCTTGAAAATTCCTTCTGCTTAGGAATGTAAAAAAATAGCCTGGTGACAGGCAGTGTGGATGGTGAACATTGGAGCTTGTGGTTCATGAATCTCATGTCTTTGATCTCATGACTGGCTACTGGCTCTGAATTCCACTTGTTTAGAAAATCATGCATTTTTCCAGGGATGGTTGAATTCAAAGGAGATCTGTCATGTTTTGTCACCATCTTAGATGACTCAATACAGCAATCTATCTACAAGGATCTAGTTCAGGTGTTATACATCGCTTTCCTCCAGCCTGACACTGTCTATGTCATGGGATTGCCACGCTTGGCAACCTGGCCAACTATTCTACTGGCTGGAAATTCTAGGAACCATAATAGAGACAAAATGAAGAAGGCTGTTCTGTAGAATGCTGTGTATATTACATTTATACGCACCGGTCATCGTCTTCCACATGGATATTCCCACCAGAAGTGCTTTGGAGCGTTGGTAATCCTTCAGTGACACCTTCATCTATTGAACCTGGGGGCAGTTAAATAAAACATACACATTAAGTTACAGTTTAATGGAACCATAGCAATGGTTTTTTTTTCCCACATCCTCCTCACGAGCTATCTTGCTGCCAAATTTAAGAATTCCGTTATAACACAATAGGATAACGATGTAAAGCAATCTGCATAATTTATAAAGAGCAAACTTTAATCAATTTGGCCTATTTGGATTCAGGAGGTTTTTCAATTGGAAGAAGGCTTAGATATACATTACGTGGAGGCAGGACTGTGATTAAATAGCCAGTTTATTGTTTAAACAATGCCCAGGGAAGGACGTATAACAGGCTAAACAGTACAACGCACAGAGGTAGAAACAAATAATTGCAAAGCTCACAATCTTCCTCATAACTTTTCCCCAGTATTGATGCCAGATTTGTGTTGCTCATATTTCAGTATATCGCAAAGAGTCCTAACTGAAGTAGTGTGAGTCTAAAGCAAAATTAATGGAAAACACGAGGATTTGCTCAGTTAAATGTGCATCATTCATTAGCATTGTGTTTCCACTCATCTGTACTGAAGCCATTACAAAACTGTATTACCGGGAATGCTGAAAAGGGGATGGAGGAAATTTGTTAAAGGTGGTGATATTATTACTCCCTCAATATAGTACAGGTAGCCCTTGACTTACGACCACAATTGAGCCCAAAATTTCTGTTGTTAAATGAGACATTTGTTAAGTGAGTTTTGCCCCATTTTACAACCTATCTTGCCACAGTTGTTAATGGCTGCAGTTGATCAGTGAGTAACCTGATTATGTGAATCTGGTTTCCAGTGACTTTGCTTGTCAGAAGGTTGCAGAAGGGGATCATATGATCTTGGACTACCTGTACAGCCTAAGAGGTCTTTTTACTGTGCAGGTCATTTACTGGAAACCAAATTCCAAAGCAGATTACTATTTTGGATTCTGAGTGTGTGATATCTTAATACATCCAGTTTTCTAGGACAGACAGCTCTGCCACTATTTCTAAGGAATCAGGGCTTGACTGATTTGTTATTAACTCATGGCTACAGACAGAACTAGAAGTCCCACTTAATTCATTGGAATTTATTTCTGAGTCAGTACGATCACGATCAATATTAGGCTACTTATATTGTTTTGGAATTGCTAAAGTAACTTGTGTTTAAATGTGTTTCAAAATTGAAAGCTGTGGTGATCTGGATATTTACAGAATAATGTGGGTATAGGTTTCCAGTATGACGCTGAAAAACCATTAGGGCTGGAAAAAAATGTTTTTAGTGTTTGACTACGAAAAAGAAACTAGCATCAATTTAAGGCACTGACTTCTGTGTAACTGTAACATGCTGTTGTTCTCCATCAATGCCTGACTGCTTTAAAAAACAATGAGGGAAAGAAAGGACCATTGTTCAATAATGAGACAAATGTCCCCAAAACATGATTGTGGGTTCCAGTTCCAGGCGCCTTCATTTAAAGGATTGTCAAAGGCACACAATTGGAAGGATCCTTGTGCCAGATCCTACTGCTGGTTAAAGCAGATTATCTTAGATTTTTTTTAAAAAGAAAAGGCTTCCTTGAGCCAAACTTGAATCTTGATCACTAGAGTCAAGACCATTTCATTTCTGTTACCAACAATACCCTCCTCCAAGATTTTTTTAAACCTCAGTATAGCCCTGAATCTTTAATTTTCTGGTGGTTCAATTCATGGCTTATCAGGTTTGACTTTGCTTAGCTTTTCTGAAGTTTATTTAGATCAGTGTTTCTCAACCTTGGCAACTTGAAGATGTCCGGACATCTTCAAGTTGCCAAGGTTGAGAAACACTGATTTAGATGTTACTACACGAATCAAAAGCCTTATAGCATATTATATTTTAAATATTAAGGGTACTGTTAAAGCTAATTGAAAATGACTGGACGGTTTGGGTATATCTCCAGTTGCACTCAAAACAGTATTTATAAAGTCTTTTATCATATGATCTTTAATTATGTGTAAATGAGATGCTAGCACAATATACTGCAAGAGAATGGGGATGGAGAGGTAAATCATAAAACCTGAGTTGGACCTGTTGACTATATAAGTCAACAGGTCTAACCTGCTAAATGCTGTGGAGAAATTTAAACATCCAAACAAATGACAAGCTAGACGTGATACCGGTAAAGGCATTCTATTTGATGTTAATATAATGAAGATAAAGTGCAACCTAGAGGTGGCTAAAATTCCCAATGCATTGAATGACAAGCTGATGGGTAATTTTTTGTATCCATGCAGTAGAACAAAGCAAGCCCAATCACTCTTTTCTTCTCTAATAAATGTAGTATTTGAAACATTTTTATGCATCAATTAAAAAAAGGCTCAAACATCCTACAAAAAATTGAAATAAACCAGTCCCCATGTTAAAGCATTCCTAAAAGGATCAGAAGTGGGGGGAAAACAAACTGGGGATGCTAAATTTTTACTGTAGCTATTTTCTGGACTATGTCTAAACTACTGCTGACAAGGGAATCCTTTTCATCAATGAACCTTTTTTTGTGTGTGATGCAACCAGCAACTTGTCTAAAACTATTTGATATCCCAGGAAACTGTCAAACTCAAGCAGTCTTTTAAGTTCCTGCATCTTCAGACAGAATAATACAATGAGTTATTATGAACAAAGGAGCATGAAAATCAAACATGTTGTTTGTCCCAGCTCTGTATTGATAGCTTTGCAGCTGGAACCCCATTGCTCCCTTTGATCTTCATGCAAATGAGAAAGTTTAGTTGGCATCCCTATGCATGGCCAAAGCCTGCATTCTTTTTTGCACAGATCCAGCCAAACTGATCGGGAAAGATTTTGTTCACCATGCTACCTATATAACATAAAAAAGCCAAATGTCTTGAATTTTTAATCAACATCGATGGTACATTCACTACATGGATTTTTTTAAAAACAAAATAATAACAAACATGGCAGGTCTGTAATGTTTAGTGGGATGATCTGTTTTGATAAGCAATGATATTTGGGTAAATACATTTGAAATGCATGCCTGATTTCCTTATTTTGGGATACCACATTAGTTTTAATGTATAAAGTGTTTATAAACTATATATTCAATATCAGTGTATTAAATAATCTTTGACTGTTTACAAATCAAAAAATGTTTCTGTTGATAAAAAGCATTTTGGAAGGTTTTTGTTTACTGTGAGAATATTGTTCCAAGCTTTTGCTTAACAAATTAACTTCATTTAAAAAGCTATGATTGAGCTCTATAGATGGATTTCTGCAGTCAATTTCCTCCTTTGTATAGTTTATTAATACACTGAGGTTCAAGAGAAAAAAAAAACCTTCAAGAAGCTGGTTATTATGCTTTTAATCACCCAACAAGGAATTCTACTTATTATGCCAACTTTTAAAAAAAAAAGTGATGCCAAGTGCTGATTTTGAATGATTACTTACTGTCAACACTTAAATGATTTAATAAATCAAATATTTATTATTTATAAGTTATTTCTTGTATTATAAATAAAACAAAATGGAAATCATCAAAAAATGCTTTGGTTTTATAAATATGCTGCATTAAAATATTGTGTATTAGTGTCTATCTAAATTGTTTTAATTATTTGGCAAACACTTTCTGATTTATTGTAAATCCCAAAGCAATGATGGAAATTGGTGTTTTTAATCAGAAACAAAATAAATTTGCTCTTTGATTTCTATTTGCATCTGCTCATCTTTTCTACTCTGGAAATAACTATCATACTTAAAAATACTGTAACATTCCTCTGAACGAAAATGCAGCAAAGTAAACAATCATTATACAAGACATGGTGCTCAATATTTCTGGCCTGGTAGGTTCATTTGATATTTTGAAAAATGCTGTGGATGTTCTGATCTAACCAGTTAAGAATGGCTACAATAGCTGCCTTGGGAGACATACCAAGACCTGATTTACGTGCCAAGGTTGCTACCTTCATCCCCTTCTAATCGTCCATTCCAGGACACCCCATATGACTCCTTTTTATACCAGTCATCTTTCCAGACAGGCGAACCCACAAAACTAGGCAGCAAATACCTATCATTTTGTTTTCTACAATTGCTTAAAAGGTCCATTCCAAAACCATGGAGACCTGTAGAAATCAAGAATGAAGCTGAGACCAGCCCTTTTGCTTAGAAATCTTATTGTTCCATTTTTTTTTAATTAAAATATTCCTTTAAAGCAAAATGTCAGGCGGGGTAAAGAGAGTTTCATGGGCATAATTAGTGCCCTAAGAAAATTGCCTCAGGCAGGGCAATTTAAAGAATGTAAAAATTCACGTCCAAGCCCTCCAAAATAGACTTGGTGATGACATGGGTAGTTCCTAAGAAAACCAGCAAGAAATTGAATGAATATGAAAATTATAGCAAAGTATGGATTACTAAACTATGCTCCAGATCAATAGGATTTCTTTGGAACATTCAAAGGACAACCTGAATCAGGATTGGAAGGTATCTTCCTCATAAAATAATGTAATTCAACTCCTTCTCATTCAGCTATAATAGCAAGTAAAATACCACAACCAAAGACAACAAATGACTAAAAAGAAGAACAATTAAAACACGTGCACATAAACAATTCTTGTGGAGTCGAATGGGGGATGTGTGCAAGGCAAAATGCAAGTTTCATTGCCACAAGATGTCCATATTCTTGATGTGCGTTTAGGACACTTGTATAGCTTTCCAGGGGCTTCTGTGGGAGGGGTTTTTCTTAAACTTAAAGACTACACTTTTTCTCTTAGCAATTGATTTTAGCCATTTGTTTCCTTGACAAGTCATTAAAAAGGCCTTGTCCTTATTTCACACAATTAAATCTACCTTACACTGCTCCAATAATGAATCTGTATGACTAACCACATGTCACTGGAAATTTATTTCCTGAATTCCCGTTTCCATGTGTTGAATAGTATGGGTTGGCTTACATTAGTCTGGTAAACTAGCTTTCTTCCAAGGGCTGCAGGAAAATAATGTTTGCCTTTCTTATTAATTCACAACATTCACCTTTGTTTTTCTTCCATTTAAAAATTCACAACTGCTTACTCAAAAAGAAAAAAAAGAAAAAAACAATTTAACTTGAATGTGGCCAATATCCATTGTTAACATAACAGCTATTCAAAGCATGATGCAAAAAACAGCAATATAATTATACTGAGGCATTGCCACTACAACTATTTCCTGCTTCCTCAAAACAGCAACAAAACTGAATTTCTTTGATTTAGGTGTTTTCTTCTTAGAAGTTTCAAAACAGAAGGGGCAACTCTTCTCCTCTTGCCTTGGTGTACAAAGTATAACAACTCGCCAGGAAATAAGGCCCACTGACTCAAAATAACTTCTAGTGTAGAATGGTCTGGTTTAAATACTTTTAACCTTTTTCTACAGAATATCTAAAATGGTTTGTGGAAAATGTTTAATATATCACACATCAAGGCAATTATTTCTGTGCACGGCAAATAAAGTTTAAAATTGCAAAAAAGGAGATTCAACACTTCTGGATGACATGAATTTGACCAATCAATTTTGTTTGACGTACAGTGAAAAGGTCATCTTTATACAACTTTGACAAGATATGGTACTGGTATTTCTTGCAAACCACTTGTATACTCAGAATGAACTCAAGCTCTAAGGAAACAATGAAACACACATAGATTTAAGTGAGTCTACCTATAGAAGATGACTGCGGACTGATCAAAAGATCCTCCTGAACTTGTTCACTTCCAGGGACTGTCTGCTGGTCACTCAGAGAACTTTGGGATGCACTAACAGGCTGAGATACTTCCTCATGTACTTCTTCATCACTCAACCTTTCCACTTTTACACGCACATCTTCTTCAATCACCAGGGGTGAGCTGGTTTTTGTGCTCTCACACGTCATGTAATCAGAAATTCTTCTAGACGCTTCAGATGGACCAGGCACTTCTAGAGTCCGAGAGTTTTCTACCTGTTTCACTTTTTCTGTCTGGAGTCTTCGGTCAATTCCAAAAGGGAAAGTCCAAGGGAAAGCTAAGGAAGAGTCTACAGGATGACTTCTACTCTCTGCATAGGAAGCTGAAGTAGTCAAAACTTGTGGGGAGTTTGTCTGGGTGTTACATTTAAGTGGACTTTCTGGGGACATTACGATATAGCTTTTACGCTTCCGCCGTGATTCTCTGCAGACCGGAATGGTTCTTTCTACCACGCTGCATTCTGAGGAAACTGGGGAAAGACTGCCATCCCGTGATGTAAAATTGCAGTTTGCGCTGTTTTCCTGGCCTGTATCGAGCACCTTTTCCTGCTGACTATTGGGGGTGTTCCATAAAATACTTGACTTCATAAACTCAGAACAGGTGCTAGCCACACTGAACATTTGCATATAGCTAGCAGCAGCCAAGACGTCAATAATATTTTCAGTGTTAATAGACAATGTTGCGGTGTAGGCGTATTCCAGAAGAGGCAAAAAGCCAGTCACAGTCACGTGATGCAAGTCAAGTACACTCTGGCTATCATCTTCTGCTTGGCCAACCAATTTGGAACGGAAGAAGTCACTGCAGGCTGCCAGGACTACCTTGTGTGCTCTGAAGATTTTATCTTGGACACGAATGGTGATGTCACAGAAATGTCCATCATTACGTAACATGTTCAGCTTTCCAAGCATCTCCTGGCTGTGAGCTGGAGAACTGTGGGTAAATGTTTTGACGCCCATTTTACTTGTGTACTTGCTGCGACAAATATTCAAAATGGACCTAGAGAAGAAAAAAAGGGGAAAGATTTTTCAGTCATGTAATTATGTAAAAAAAAAGAGCTAAAACTCTGGGCATTAAAACATGCCATTAATGTGTGCTTAAGTGAATGTCAGTTAAATAATGTTTTTGGGTTTGCTAGCGTGGTGAAAATATATTGCTTGCTTGTCAATTATATCAAACAAGATATAAAAGACTGAAATGTATTTGTGTCAGTGGAAAATAAAGGCTGTATGTAGGAATTATTCTTATTAACAAAAATCTGCTTAAAAACAGATGTGAATGCTCCTTTCCCGTCTTCCTTTGATGTGATGACAGAATCATTTCTTGATATAGTCCCTGAACAAGGCCAAACTGGAGTTAGTAAAACCTTTCTACTGTAAGTCAATTTTCAAGAGACTGCAAATAGTGCAAATATTGTAATGAAATCTAGTCCAGCATTGCTAGCTTTAAATATGGTTTGCATCTGCTATGATTTTTACAGGAATATAAAATAATATTTTACATTTCCTGTAATCAAATAACTATTGATAATTGGTAAATTACTAGTTATTCTGCTGCAATAGGAATTTTGACAACATTATGATCCAATCATCTTTAATAGTGTACAACTGTGCTTGCAGGAAAGTTTATAAAAATATAATATATAATTATTTGAAACTTGAGTTGTAATAGTTAAATACTGATATATAACATTCTGGACAGTTATAGTAAACAAAGGTATTATGCTAAATCTTGCCTTCCACTGTAACACACATGGTAAGAAGCTCAGGCTTTGTAAATCCACTGCTTCAGATCCTTATTTAATCATGTAGATTAGAATTCAAGCTAACATAGACTCACAAATAATTAATCTTGTTAGAGTTCATTGCCTATTAAATAAGTGGTCAAACGTGATTGAAAATATGAAAGAAAAACTCTTTCAAAATGTTAAGACAGTGTCAAAAGTATTTGCAGTAATCTTTTTGACATAATAAAATCACATGAGGTGAGTCAATAATATTTTCAAGTGTTGTTAAGAATGTAATTGCTCCATCTGATACCACTGCTGCTTTCAGTAATACTCATGGATTTCTAAATATAGTAGAACTTTCTCCTTATACTAAAGTGGGCATTTAAGGTCACTTTCTTAAGTTGATTTTATCTGAAAGATAATGTGTAGGCATGGCTGCTCATGTTTTTAAAGTTATACAATCCTAGATAAGTCTTGGGGTGGGGGGTTGATTATATATGTTACATGTCTACGCAGTATACAATCTACTGAAGTCAGGTGGATTTAATGTGTCTGTGTATACGCAAATATAATAAGATATGTTTGGGATACTCAAAACAGTACACAGTAAAGTATAAAAGGCAGGCTATAATCACATACACAGCACATACCAAATGATACCCATTGAGTTGAGCAAGTCTAGCAGGCAAATCCCAGGCATATTTACTTACATAATCCTGCCTTTCATTTAGGAACTCAAGGTGACATATATAACACAACTATACTGCCTCCTGTTTTTCCTCATAATGTTCTAGTGAGAGAGATTCCACTGAGAATGCATGACAGCCAGTGAAATTACTTGAATTAAGAGCAACTGTAGGCAGATTTTTGCTATATCCTGCCTTTGCTTAAGGCTGTGTACACAGTGCACCGTCTTGTTCCCCCCCCAAAAACAAAAATCATATGAGAGAATGGTTGCCCAAAATCATCCAGTGACCTTCCTTAGATGAACTAGAATCTGAATCTTCTCAGTGCAAGTCCAACAATTTAACTATTACATTATTTATCTATACTGATTCTCTACATTAAATACAGCTGCAATGTGGCCTTCCTAATCCATTCTAATGCATAACACTGTATTTTTAATGCACTAATAAAAATCTACAAAATAAATTCTTTGGTCTGAGTTTTGAATAGCTAATGTTTATTTTAAAAAAAGTTGTAGAACTATGTTAAAGTCTGGGTATATACATATATTTTAAAGAATTATAGAATAGAATAAAATAGAACAGAAACAATGTTAAAAATAGTAAAATAATCCTATAGTATAATAAACTAGAATTACAACCTTAAAACAAATTAAAAGGCAAAAATAAAGAAAAAGAAAAATCAAACATCTAAAAGGCCAGATAAATAAACATTTTAATCTGGGTCAAAAGAATAATAATTCTGAACTAATGCTGTAGAGATAGTGTTTTACAAAGAAGGCCAGCATAAGAATAAAAACTCTCTGAAAAGAAAAAAAAAACAATCGTTAGATTGTCCTGTTATGCTAAGTCAAAGTATTTGAAATAACATTATAGACATGATTAGTATTTTAGTGGAAAAAATAACATATTAAACTATAATCAAAGCTACGTTTTGATTTAAAAGTATCCCATTTAATGATGGTTTACTATGTTGCAAAATTATAGGAGCCCTGTGCTTGACTTCCAATTGACAGTTACTGTTAACACTTGCCAAATATTGTATAGCTATCATCCAATACTTTTTCAAACAATTATTACTGCACTAATTTGCACATATATTGAATTGCCAGGAAAAGAACATATCAAGTAAGTTTACATGAAGGAATTTTCTAACCATAACATGTTGCCTCTTTTAAATTTCTGACCTGAACTATTCTTCTCCCATATCAATCCATCTCTCTCATCTCCCAGCCTGGCTAAACTTAATTGTTATAATATTGTTCTGCTGAAACATTCAAGGTGTGTATGCTTTTGCTAATCCATCAACTTCTACTGACATCAGTTACTTCGGTAAAAGAAACTGAATTTCAGGAATCTTGTTCAAGTTCAAACAAGACAAGCATTTGGTACTTGCTCTCGCCCTTTCTACGCTGATTTAACTTTACAATGAATTAATTGTCTGAATGGAACCGTATATTAAATGTTTTTAGATAGTTCATCTCAAGCAAAAAATTTGCTTGCCATTCAGGATAAACACTGTTAGGCCAGCACAAATTCAACTCTTTTGAAAATGCTGTAACTTCAAAAGCGATATGCCACTATTGCTGGGGGAGGGGAAGAGATAAGATCAATACATGAAGATAATGATTACTTAAGCAGATTTATCTAAGTTCTGTACTTAAGTGTTCCCTATAGCAGTAGCCAATCTTTCTTCTTTGCTCTATCTTACGAAAATACATGGTACTAATCAACAGTTTCTATTTATTGAAGCTACTTGGAAAATGCTTTTGTAAGGATCTCAAAGCTATGCAAACCAACATACAGCCATTTCTGCATTTTAAAGGTTACTTCATTAATGCCGAGATCATCCTGTTTTACTTCACATACATCTAGAAACAGGCACTAAAATTTCTGTATTCTGTCTGCACTAGAATCTCAATAAATTCCAGCCCAAATTAACGAGATGGTAAGGTGATTGTGAAGCTACTTAGGACTTCACATATTTGGACAAGATTTTATGTTTAGTTTTGTGTTAGCTTATATTTGAGCCAATTTATTATTACTGATGCAAGAAACTATGATCAAGAAATTATGGTTTACCATTAAAACAATAAACAATTCTATGCAGTAATGATCTTTTTAGCAGATCTATGACCGCAATAAAAAATTGATTTCTCTCTCTGAAGAGAAATCAAATTATAACTGCCCATAATTTTTATGAATTTTCTAGTCAAATCTGTAAACACAAAACTATGGATTCAGAAATCCTTACATTTTATCCCAGTGAAGATTAGTGGATGACATTAATAAGTAACTTATCAACAGTTATATCTAATTTCAAGGTTAGAAGGAAGTAGACTTCCTAGCTCTCAAAATGCTGATATCCTGAAATTATTTTTTAAAAAAATATTTATAAAGCTGCCTATCTTGTTTAATATAAGCTTGGACAGGTCAACAACAACAACAACAACAATAATAACAATGAAAAAACCAACAGATACTCTTGGTCGTGCCAAAATGCAATATATTCCCACACATTCACAACAAACTTTACTAGGGTCACTCTACCCCAAAGTATATAGGAAACGTCTATATTTAGCATAAAGCTCTAAATATGGGACTGCCAATTTCCCATTTTAGAAGTATCTGTGAACAAGTAAATTTCTGAATACTGTTTATGAGTCACTGGTATGGGGATACAACAAACATAATAGCTGTCAATTTTGCTAGGTATTGTTCATAATGGCCAGAATGCCTAGAAATCTGGTACTTTATAAAAAGCAGAAATTCTCTTAATTCCATGTTGCTGTTACTGTGTAAGTAGATTTAAAAAGAAACTAGTCACCTTTAAGTATGTGGCCTCTAAGGAAGGGGAAGAAATTGAAAGAAAAAATGTACAAATGATAACCACCAGAAATTAAACTTTAAATGTGACATATTCAAGTTGTTTTAAAAGTCAATTGGGGTTAGTTTCATTTGAAGGTAACAATTTGCTACAACTTCAGGAAATTAAACCGTAATTATAAATAAAAATGTTCAGAAAAAGTTTGTTAATTCTAGCAGAGATCAGTAGCTGCACTATTAAATAACTATTTTCTGTCATAATTGCCTGGCCTAGGCAAGAAGCTTATCTGTCAGAGGTAATTCTTTATTTCAGTTTAGTTCAGTTGCCTTTCTACTTTTCTGCACTGTTCATGTATGGACAAAAGCTTTCTGTAGAAATAGTTTTATTGTCACTATGCAAAATTTTGGAGCACTAAATACCTACCACTGGATTTCACTAGAAGTTAGATTTTAGTTAATAGGCAGTAAACCAATTAAATGAAGTATTTAATGCAGATCTAATTGCCACCTATTTAACTAAATCATTATGAACAAAGAGTACAATTAATCTCTTGAATTCTTGCTAAGGACATCTAGAATAACTTTAAATATATACTATGGACAAGGTAGATCTTTAGAACAACCCAACTACTTAACTGCTTTTTGAACTTCATTTGCACTATGATACAAGTGGTTTAAAATAATACTTCTGTATTATGCATTCAAGTGTTCAAATAACTTCATGTGCATGATCTAATTGTATCCCTTATAACAATTTT